TAAGAGAGATTAAATACATTGACCAGGGCCATTCATGCTTGTAAAAATGGCCCAAAACTGGGCCATATGCTAAGAATAACAGAATATAGCGTTTGCAAGAACCGCCAGTCACCCTTTCTATCTCTTATCTCTAACAGAGAACTTTTGATTTCTCTATAATATAAATCAATTTTCATTATCAAAAACTTCAGACCCCCAACATGAGCCCAGGGATGATTTGGACCTATGAAAACTTCCTGTAGTAATCGAGATGGAGAAGGTGATGAGATGCCAATATGACGCCACAAAAACCGGGCTGCTCATTGTGCTCTCGTAAACTTCCATAAATTTATTTTTATCGTCAACTGCAGAAGTCGAAAGCTTTGGGTTACCGGTTCTCTCATGTGATACCACGTCGCGCGTTACTGTTATACCGCGACTTGTATTTCCTAGCTTTAGATGGCATGGCGCAATTTTCGTGGACATCTCGGTAGTCAGGTGGCATGGCCCACTTCTGGGCCCCTCTTGGGTCTGTCCCCCGCTTGGTCACATACCTTTCTTTATGATTGGAGGGCAGGAAAATGTGGCAGCGACCAAGGCTTCTAGCCCCTTTCGTGAAATGATAATGTGAACTCGATCAGCACATTTGCTGGCAGAAGCACGTGGGGTGGGCTTGCTCGAACTGCCAAGACCAAGCCTTCGTGGCTATGCAGCGACAACGATAAGAGGTTAGCACTAAGACTGCACCGGCTCTGCGCTAACCTCTTATCAGCCAAGTCCTTTAGCTACAGCACTTTTATCACACTCAAACATCCGAACAAGGCCAGCGTTTCTGGTATCTGAATGGGTCAAAGGCCGAAATGACCGAGCTCAGCGAATGCATTGTTACTGCCGGCCCTGGAGTCTCAATAACGTGCGAGCAAAGAGAAGACGGCGCAATCGCACTCTTGATTACACATGATAGCAACTCACCAGGGGAAATTCAGAAGCACAGTGGTTTCGGTCAGGACGCTTCATGGAGGTTCTCAGAGAAACGCGCTGTCTCTTCAAACAAGATCGTTTTCCGATTCCCCCAAGGCGGAAACAGTAGGTCGAAGCGATCTATGGATCGTCAAGATCTCACGGAAAGAATCAAGAAGGGTTGGCCGAAGAGAGTCGAGAGAATCGAGCAGAACGGAGCATCTTGGCTTGTGAATGCATGCCTCTTCTTTGGCAGCTTTGAGTTCGCCTCTGCTGAGCAGTGGTCCTCTCACAACCTAGACTCTGCCGAACCAGAGATTAAACGGGAGAGAGGTCCATGGCATCGTGTCAACTTGGCGCGTCGGCTGGACGAGCGTTTGCAGGCCGCGAGGCGCGAAAATCCGTACTACTCGGAATTGAATTGCCGGAGAGCCATGCTGGCGGAGATATATCCGGACTTCGATGAATCAGATGAAAAGAAGAGAGCTTATCAGAAGAGGTTTCAGAGACGCATCAATCATGGACGTGTAGAATCTAAGCTCTTGGGAATCAGCGCTGCGCTTCTTTTGACTGTTGCACCCATTCTAAATTATGACGAGTAAGGTAACCTTAGAATTTCCTCAATATTGCCTAATCGCTTGCAGTCTTGAATGTCTTTCACATAGCTGGGAAGATTCCTGGTTACCCCAGGAAGTGATCGACGCGTCAAAGAAATATGAACAGTTGGCGGTAGTCCTGCTGTTTTATTTGGATCAAATCGGAAAATGTAAGTCACTCTATAGCAGACATCGTCCTGTGTTGAAGATTTTGACTGCCTAGGTTCCGGCGCCTTACTACAACGATCAATTCATGTTCTCAGCACCATAACGTGGAATCTCAACGGTCCGCCGATCAGATTATCACAAGAGGGTCTGATCAAAGTCAACGTCATGCCTATCGGCGAGACAAGAAGAGCAGTGTTTAGATTCTGTGAGTGAGCTTATTAGTAATGACCTGTCCTAACTAACATTATGGAGATGTGGATTCCATCTGCAATGGTCGAACCATTCTTAGCGATAATATCTATCGTCAGGTGCTAAAAATTGCCAAGATTAACAATAGCACCCTTTACGCCCTGCTTGCCCTTTCAGCATCTTATTACAAGGAGTATTTGACAGATAACAGTCCCGAGAGAAGTGAAGTAGAGAACATTGAGCGCATTTGTTTGATCCAAGCCTTCAATTCTCTCCCCCCACCCGGACCGACGAGAGATGCTTCCCTTATGCTGCTCATACATCACGCAATACTTAACCCAAATTGCCATAAAAATCACTGGACACAGTACTTGTATCAACTCCAACATCATCCGGAGCAGCAAATGAACGTGGTTATTGCTGCTCATTCAGTTTGGCTTATGGCTGTCCTCCCCCTGCACGACAGATACGACTTTCAGAAATTTGACTATGATTGGTTAGGCTGGGACTGTCCTAACCTCTATATGGTTAATAGTATACTGGGTCTATCTCGAAAAATGCTGCATTTCCAGTATATTATAACGAAGGCAGCAAAAACGCAGCAAACTCCATCTTGTCAGTCGGATTTCCTCAAGGAGATAGATGAGTCCCCGCAGCTCTTGCACGAAGAAGATCTGCAAAATCCTCTTGTAAGAACGGTAGCAACAACGACCATGGAAGCATACAGATTGGCCACTAGGCTTTATGCTTGTGGCAGACTTTACAGGTGAGATCCTTTTTCATAATACGCCAACCCTACTAATACGGGATTAGGCTCTTTCCAACTAATCCCATCATCAAACAGGACACGAAGTTGCTGGTAGGTCATCTCGAATCGTTACCAATAGAAGGGGAAGGCTACTCAGGTATCCATCCGGCCTTTTGCTTTATCATTGCTTGCATTTGCATTGAGGAAGTGGAAGACTTTGCAAAGCTTCACGGCATTTTCGAGAGAATTGGCTTAGCCAACAAGTCGGTAAGACCCATAATCACGCTGCAGAGACTTATCTCACTAGCACAGAATGTCCTCGGCTTATGTAAGCTTCTCACGTGGATATGGCATTGGAAGATTACCTCGCGGACATGGCGTGAGGACTGGTGGGAGGAACAGGCGAATATGATAGATTCTAAGATGAACGGAAAACCGATATGCGTTACCTAATAAGGTAGTTCATAAGTTTGGAACTATGTTGGGATGTACTGATGTGGTATCATCAGATCTTTCCCATCTACAACGCGCTTGAATCGTACGCTCCAGAGGATCATTACTCTCCTCTCCACAAATGCGCAGGACAACAATATCTCCAATATTCGTAAGGAACTTGTATGAATGGTATGAACCTCCTGTTGCAAGGATAAGGTTTGATATGCCATCAACGCGATCTATGATAGGGTATTGCTTGGGAGTAATAAGGTCACTAATAAGCGTAAGTCTAGATTTGGACACTGGCATGATAGCACCTACGGGCAGCAGAAGCGTTTCAACTCTCTGCCTCGGAACTGAGGGAGCATCTTCTCCAGCACTTTCCGGTTGGGGGTTATGTCAACTTCGTCACTCAAGTCGTCTGGAGAAGCAATTCTAAAAGTATCCGTTGTTGTCATTTTCAGAACTTGGTGCAACTTCGATAACATGACTTCTCCTTCATAAAGGTAAGCAGAATTCAAGATAACACAGATAAATTTACCATCTTTAGTAACCAGAATAGGCATTGATTTCAGTGAGTTGTACTCTGACTCGGACAGCTCAAGGACCGCCACACCAACAGCGGTAACTTGGAAGAATCCTGGGGGGACGGGAATTTTCGATTTCTCCAGTATCTCCGGTGTCCACGCGCCTGTGGAAACTATTGTGGTTTTTCCTCGCACCACGGCGTCTCCAACTTGAACTCCAACGCACTTCCCTGCTTCGATGATAAGTTTTGTCACATTATTCCTGTGCCGCTGCACGCCGAGCTCTACAGCTCTGTCGGAGATGGCTTGCACAGCGACATCCGAATCAGCATAGCCAACATTGGGATTTAGATATAGCTCCTCTGTAACAGCTAAAGAAGGCTCTATAGTTGATCCTACTTGCTCCATCATTTCTTTCGCCGTTACTGCCGTGTCTTTTTCTCCCTTGCTCATTGTCTTTGTTGTCTTCTTGTCGATTGCTTGAATCCACGCTGTCCTATGAAAGTACTTCGAAAGTAAGTCATCTGAGGCCCATAGTTGCATAGCTCGATTGGCCCACTCCGCCATTGTATTGTCCGGATACGCGTCGCGGATGATCTTAAGGAAATCGTTCGAGGCAGTGTGTACGTGAACACCGGTATGCCACGAGACTCGTGCATCTGGCCATCTCTTTTTGATGGCGTACACAGTAGACGCCGCTATGCAGCCCCCTCCGACGATAATGAAATCAAACTGATTAGCGTGGTGACCGCCCATAATGATGAAGTATGTAAACTTAAACTATCGAGATGTCATTAGATTTAGTCATTTTGGCTAAATAACGTGATTCACAAGCTAGTGCGACACCCAAGCTAGTGCGACACCC